TGACGTAATGATGATGTCACCTCCAGCGTGGTCTTCTGGAGACTGTGATGCTTCATTTCTTGCCTCCTGACCAGCTCTGAGTTTAGCCACAGCCCATAAGGACAACCCCCTAATTGGGGTGGGGTGGGGGTTTGAACTGGAGGTTCCCAGAAACCCAGCTGTGAGGAGGTGGAACTAAGCCAGGCCTGCCCTCTGTGCTGGGAGCTCCCACGCTGGGTCCAGGTGCATCACCTCCTGCCAAGGTGTGTGCTCATCCGCCCACAGAGGGCCATCCGGGACTTAGGCAGGCTAGGAATGGTGACGTCAGTGTCAGGAAATGACCGAGGAGCATGGCCAGGCCACCCACACCCTCTTCATGTCCTCCGGTGCTCTAAATATGGATCACGACAGATAGCTAGAGTGACCTTCACCTGGCCAGCAGAAGATGAGAAACTCTCTGCCAGGGCTGACTGGGGCCTGGGTGCCTGGCTGCTGCCCCTTCTGGCCTGGAGGAGGTGATGGCCAGGCCTGTGGTGGCCCAGACATTGCTTTGTATCTAGTTTTTGTTTTGTTTTGGTTTGGTTTGGTTTTTTTGAGATAGAGTCTCACTTTGCTGCCCTAAGTAGAGTGCCGTGCCATCATAACTCACAGCAACGTCAAACTCCCGGGCTCAAGTGATCCTCTTGCCTCAGGTTTTCTGTTTTTAGTAGAGACAGGGTCTCATCTTGCTCAGGCTGGTCTCAAACTCCTGAGCTCAGGCAATCCGCCTGCCTCTGCCTCCCAGAGTGCTAGGATTACAGGTGTGAGCCGACACACCCAGCCTTGTACCCAGTTCTTGCCTTGAGCTGAGGTGTGTCCAGAAGTCACTAAACTACAACTTCAACACAAAGCTCATTCCCTGGGACCTTGCACAAAGGCAGGCCTGGGTCCTTATTTGAACATCCACTGGGACAACATGTATGAGACCCTGCTCATGTACCTGGCAAGGGGTAGGTGAAAGCGAGGAAAGCACTGGCCAGACAGCAGGGACAACACGAACAAAGGCCCAGAGAAGGGAAGGCTGGAGGGAGGCTCTGGAGGCCAGTGCCAGTGCTACTGAAAGGTGCCCTGGACGTGTCAGCTGGGCCGTAGAATGCTGCCGTGAATCTGGGGACCAGTGATGGTGTAGGGTCAGGGAAAAAAGGGACTGTGGAAATTCAGCCTGAGCACACCTCCTTAAACCAAAGAGGGCTGCTGAGCAGGGCTAGCAAGTGATGTAAGGTGCCCAGGGGATCTGTGGCAAACCCTGGAGCACATGGCCCAGCTAGAGGGGACAGCTGCTAGTCAGCTCCCACCTAGCTTCTGGACGCATGTGGGAACACTGATTCAGTGTGGTCAGGTCACCCAAAGTTACAGGAGAAGCCGGAAATGTAGATTTTTATATGAAATCACCTGACCTTTTACTAGCTCAAAAATTTAAAAACACTTTGTAAGCCAAACAAAACACATGTGTGGGCCGGATTTGGCTTCTAGCTGTCAGATCGCAGCCTGCCTTTTAAAGTTCCTCTGTGAGCAGCATCCCCACTTCCCAGACGTCTGTACAGTGTTGTTCTTGGGTCTTGTTGTAGCTGCAGGAAGGGCAGGTGCACTTCCCAGGGGGAGGTTAGGAACCCAATAGAGCTGGAGACAGGCTGAGGTTGAGGGAGGAAGGGAGAGACACCAAGTCATAATAACCCTTCCTTCAGGGGGTTGCCCTGGGCTCTCAAGGACCTCTCTCTTCCTCCAGTGACGTTCTGATTTCTACACACAGGCTCATCATTAACCTTGAGCTTCAGACTGGCTCCTAGTCACTGGTGCTGCCCCAGCCTCTTCTGACAGCCTGTCAGGGCACTAGGACTCAGTTTCCCAGCAGCCCACCACCTCAGATGCCACAGTGGAGCCTCTGGCCCCTTTTGTTGTAAGGATGGACACATAAGCACAGAACAGGGAAACAGTGAAGCTAGCCAAGTGTCACTGACTTCCCTTGAGGACTGCCTCCCAGAATGGGTCTCAAACTGTGTTGTGTCCTTTTGCTTTTTATAAAATTTATCATGGTTAATTATAAATAGACACAAAAATAGAAAACATGGCATACAAATCCCCAGCTTTAAGGACCATCACGCAGGACCACTCTCATTTCACCTCTGACTGTCCCACTTCCCAGCCTCCTCCAGGGGATGGTGTGTATCCAAATCCCAGGCACATTGTTCTGTCCACAAATAGCCAATCTGTAACTCTAATAGCACGACACCATTATCACACCCCGAAAAATGATGTCCAATGTCATCAAACACCCAGAGGTGTTATTTTTTCCATTGCCTTGATCAAATCATAATCTAAAACCCACACGCTGCACTTGGTTGATGCCCTTACCCTTCTTTTAACATACAGCTTCCCTTTCTCTTTCCCCCTGAGATGTATTTGTTGAAGAAGCTGGGTTGTTTGCCTGCAGAGGTTCCCACTGCCTGAAGTCTCTGGATTGCATCCCCGTGGTGTGTCGAGCATGTCCCTCTGTCCCCTGGTGTTCCCCCAGATGGTAATTATGTGCAGAGGCCTGGTTGGATTTAGGTTTGGGGTTTTGTGAGTGGTGCTACATTCTTCCACCAAGGGACACATGCCGATCTTGTCCCATGGGATGGTCTTACCTTGAGTAAGAGATCTCCCCCACAGTTTGAGGGCAGAATTTCAAGGCCTCAGGAAGGGGCCTTGCCTACAGGTGGTGTCAGGTGAATCTCAATCCTTGTTGCTGATGGTGTGTGCAGAGTCTCAGGCTCACCTGATCTGGGGACACCAAGCCCTGTGACCTTTGCAGGGTGCTTTGCCTGTGCTGACTCCTTAGCTTTCACCTTTACAAAGAAGAAAACTGTGCCTCAGACACTGTCTGGCCTGGGGGGAAGGGAGGGAGCCCCAGAGTAAGAAAGGAGTAGGGCTGGGCTTCGCTGGTGACTAGGGAATGCAAGTGCATGTGAGTGTGCGTATGGAGAAAGTGGTAGAAAGTGGGGAGCAGGCCCAGCAGGAGCCGGAGGGAAGTCCCAAAGTCAGGAACAAGGCAGGAAGGGGAACTTTGTAAAACTTCCACCAGAGGGACAAGTAAGTGATAGGGACGCCCTGCCACCTGGATGCCATCTAGGGAGTTGGATGGGAGGTGGCTGGTGTGAGTGCCTCTTCACCTCTCAGCCTCCTTGGGCCCCCCACAACCACCCCAGTACCCTAGACCTTCAAGGTCAAGAGGCAGTGACTCGTCTGTGTTCTCATGACCCACTTGCCCTCCTTGGGCTTCCTCCGGGCTGTAAAGCCTGCTTCCAGGCCCTTCTCTCTGAGAAAGAGATAAAGAGAGCAGAGAAGACAGATAAAGTCAGTGGGCAGACTGGGTGGTGCTGGATTTTGAATTCCTGGAGGCACCAAGAGCTTGGCCCAGGAGAAAGGATGGGAGGAGAAGCTTAGAGCCCGAGGACAATGTCCAAGTCACCCCTTTGTGGCCCTGTGAGGACCTCCTTCCTCTACGTGTGCCCCACCCATCGCACCCTCCCTGGTGGCAGAGCTTGGAGCCTTCCTAAATAGCCTCTAGGGAATTCTACCCCACACTAAATCTACCCATCTTGCTTTAAAAACAGAAACAAAAACAGCATTCATTATGCATGCCTGATTCTAAAGATAATGATTTTAGAAAATTTAGAAAATTCAGACAAAATGAAAAAATGTACAGCTCACCTAGCAGTAATCACTCTGGCTTTGTGAAGTAGGCCCAGTAGTGTCCCCGTGCGGGGGTCTGTTTCTGCAGGCACATCCTGCACCCCGGCTTTCTCAGGTCTCAGTTATAGTGGAAACTCCATCCATAGGTACTTGGGGCTTGGCAGACCACAGGAGCAAAAGTTATACTTGTGGAGCATGTAGTCCAGCCCTACCTTTTGTTATAGAGGGAGAAACTGAGGCCAATGCTATGGAACCAGATCTAGGGAGGTTGGGGGCATCACCAGGTCTACTGCCAGTGATGTCCACCAGTGAGGCTGAGGCAGGCCTCCCCACGGGCTAGGTGTGTGGAAGGCCCCTTCATTCATCCCTTCTCCTATCCCTGCATTGACCTCCTGGCTCTGTCTTCTTCACGGACTTCTGGAGACAGTAGCTGAGGCTCCCTCAGCCTCAGCGGCCTCATTTCCACCCTGACTGCTGCCTTGAGACCTCGGATGCTCAAGCCTCCGGTGGCGCCAGCTGTCCAGGCCAGAGACTAGGTACCGTGCCCATCGTTGGTCACTCTAGACCCCTCCCTCTTTGAATGTCTGTAGGTTCCAGCCCGGGTGACCCTGCTGTCTGGTCCTCCCCCACCCCTAATTGCCTCCCTTTAGCCTGGACCCCCTTTTAGGATATACGGTTGAGAGGGGATAGTAGGACGCCCCACCACGACCATACACAGCCAAGCACTAGGTCAGGGGACAGACAGTCACTGGTCACCAGTCTAGTTCTCAGGTCTGAGGCCACCGCCAGGCAAAGGCTCTGCTGAGTGTTTTATGACCTTCTGTCATCCTCCCAACAACTCTTTGAGGAAGTCATTTGCATTACCCAGATTTTCCCAGTGAAGAATCTGAGGCTCAGAGAGGTTAAGCAACCAGTGGAATGCCCCAGAGCTGGGAGTGGCTTAACCGGAATCCGGGCCAGCTGACTGCAGGAGGGCTTTTCCATACACACGTGCACACATAGCAGTGGCGCGACACCGCCACTCGGGTATTGCAGGAGACCCAAAGCGACGCCCTTCGGTCCGCCGGCCCCGCCCCCACGCGTCGTGGCCCCGCCCCCGGCCTGACAGCGGCCGGCGCCCTTGCTCACGCCTCTCGGCTGCC